AATTGGAAGATAAATTACAGGAGAGATGAAGAGGAAAGAAAGATGTAGATAATGAGGACTGATGTGTATGGTTATTGTTTAGGCCAAAGTTGTTTTTTTTTTGTTGTTGTTGTTGGGCTTAACGCCATTTTTCAGCACACGATAGGCTATTCATGGCGGCCAGTATTAATGGTGGAGGAAGAAACTGGGAAATCACCGGAAAGAACCACAGACCCACGAAAAGTTGTTTTTTGAATTTAAGGTTCTGGAATTGGAGGAAGAGAGACATTTATCATCAATGGACCTTCATTAATTGACTATGTACAGGAAAATAATCAACATCAAATGGCAGGACAAGCTAGACTCCAAGGTACTTGTCCAAGCAGGTCTCCACAGCATTCACACCATCCTAATGCAGTCCCAGCTATGCTGGGTGGGACATGTATGCATGCCAGACCACTGGTTGCCAAGAGACTCATCTGGCGAGCTACAGCAAGGACAGCAATCCCACAGATGTCAGAAGAAACATTTCAAAGACAATTTTAAAGCTGCACTGAAAGCGTTCAACATAAACCTTGACTCATGGGAGCAATCTGCCAGCGATCAAGTCACTTGGCGTTCCTATCTGCACAAAGGCTCCAAGCTGTACAAATCTTAACAGGACAGCAGCTGCAGAGTTGAAGAGGCAAGTCAGAAAAGCATGCGCCAGCAACATTCCTGGAAATGTCCCACTCATCCCTTGTCCCTTCTGTAATCGAACTTTCTGTGCAAGGATTGGCCTTATCAGCCACCTGCACACATTCAGAACAGACCCAGCCCCTCCAATTCACAGATGACTAGAGTGGTCTTCCTAGACGGATGAACAACACATGTACAATGTACAGGTATGTTTAGATTTATAGGATGATGCAGCATTTTTATTATTTTTTATTACTTATGACAAACATGTTACCATGCTTAAAAATTGGCACTGATTCCTGATAAGATTGCACAGGGGTTAACATTTTTGGAACTCTGCTGATTGTACAATTATTTATTCATGAGATGCATTTACATAATACCTGACTGAGCTCATACAGACAACAAAAATGTAATACCAAGACATCAGAAGTTACAATATTGATATTTTTCATCTCATAAGTGCATGGCAGAAGCAACAATCACATTTGCATGAATACCTCATCAACACTGAACAATGTATGTATTCAAAATACAGAATAATATGTACTAGATACAATAAACTACTGAGCAGCTATGTAAAGTTGTAGCTATGTAATATTGTAGGTCCAATTAATACTACCAATACTTTGACTTTAAGGTGGTGAAGTAGTTATTGATTAAGAAATTGTAATGAGGCATAAAGATTAAATATTCTTATTCTGCACCACTGTCATGAACTAAAAAAAACCCAAAATATTTTTATTTCACACCATTACTGTCATCAAATAAAAAAAATATTGAATATTCTTATTCTGCACTGCTAATGTCTTTATTATCAGGAACTAAAAAACAGTAAATGTTATTATTCTGCACTGTTATCTTATCTTGCACTGATAAAAACAGGAATAGTATGCTTCCTTTAACATAAATATATTTACTTAGGTTTTTAATGGTAACAATAATACACAAATTTAAACCCATTAAAATAGTATTACTTATTGGGTTTTAAGGCACAAAGTGCAACCCCACAATATTTTATCCCCACAAAATTGTCCAATTACTGCCAAATCATACAATTTTATTATTTTAAAATTTCTTTTTTTACAGTATGCAACTTCAAACTAACAACATGTGGAAGATGTTTAGTGAATAAAACAGTCCATAAAATTAAAAGAAATGTACCAATAAATATGTATAGCATGAAATGGAATTTAAGTTGCTCAGTACGCAACTTCAAACTAACAACATGTGGAAGATGTTTAGTGAATAAAACAGTCCATAAAATTAAAAGAAATGTACCAATAAATATGTATAGCATGAAATGGAATTTAAGTTGCTATGTAAAAATAACACACCTGAGCGAGTCTCTGGTTAACTGTACATGCAACCTGGCCCAAAATATCTGAACCCACTTCCCAAAGTAACCTTATCTGGAAATTTACATTTATTGAATTATATGTTAACCTACATTCCACTACATTATAGAAATTACAAATAATATGGACTAACATGCATATATGTCTTGTGAAATGTTTGGGTCATCAAGGTTGACTGTTGCATGATGTGTGTAATTTAAATAGATTTACAGCATATATAATGTCATACTCAATAACTAAAAATACCTGACATCATACTAAATAGCCAAAAACAATCTGACATCATATCCAATAACCAACCATACTAAAAATGATGAGTTTCATTACATGTAACTCTTGCCAGTAAACAAAAATTTGTCTTTTTTGCTTTTTAAATTACAATAAGAATCAATAGCAAGAATGGAGATTAACAAGAATGATGTCATTCATTGTGAATAAGTTAATGTATTTCAACTGCAGTTGCAAATGTGAAAAAAGACCCTACTTAAAAAAACCTGTCCATGTTGGTCTATTCTAACAAAAAATAATGAAAATTTTGATATGTTCATACCTTTTTTAGCAGTGATCTCCATACCACCTGCTAACAATAATTATAGTTTCTTGGTCCTAAAACATTTTGCTATATGCATATAAATGTAATAAAATTAGCAGCCACCTGCTCATGTAGTCATGCGTTCATCATAAATTGGTCCCACACTTGTGTAAAAGTCTCAAATTTTATTTGGTTTCATAGGAAATCCATATGAAAGGTTTGCTTAGTATCTATGCATTATCTGGGAAAACTTTGGGCTCCAACCAAGCAAAAATGACTTATGCAATGAGATGCCTGGTTGGTGTTTAAAAAAAATTTTCATGCGATCAGTCTGTTCACTTTGTGTGTGCAGCTGACAATGCTCATATTCATTTGTGGTGCTTGATAAGAAAATTAGTCATAAAAGAGAAATTATGCACATTGAGAAAATCGAAGCAATAAGTTTACTTGTCATGTACTATTTTTGGTAGATATGTGTAATTATCAGTTTCTATATTTACACCATACATACTGCCTGTACATCAGTCATCAAGCAAGGTCAATATTTTCCTAGATTCAGACCTACTTCATTAATTTCATACAAAAATGTTTGAATAAATTCCACACTTCTTATACTATGAGAAAAGGGGCAAAGTTATTCCATGTTTTCAACAGAGTATATTTGATATAGCACACACAAACATATCTCTCCTTTTTTTCTATCAGAGATTAGAGATTTTAGCAAAATTAACCCAGCCTATTAGTCAATGATTTTAATATACCACATGGTTATTGCTAAGGATGATGATGATTAAAAACTAGATTTTTTCCTTAAATTTTTTTATTTAAATCAACTTTGTAAAGGATGAAAGGAATAAAGGATGGGGTACACACTGATTAAACATTTTAAAAGGACAGGTATTCATTAAAAACGTTCCCACGTGATAACACAAAGAAAATGATATAAGTGATATTTTCAGATAATTGATATTGCAGCATCAATTGTGTGCATAATATTTGAAACTTTTAGGTCTTAAGTGTTGAGAGTTAAAAATTTACATTTTTTATTAAATATAAAATGCAAATATGGTCCATATAATTCTTTTTTGCCTTTTTTACATTCTACATCTCTGGACTACATAATAAAAGGACCCTATATATCAAAGCCACCTGTCTATAAAGACCTGTTTTGGACAGTCCCCAGGGTTACTTCTACCTACAGGTTTGCATTTTCAGTGATTAATTGCTATCATAGGAGAAAATACAATACATAATGGTAGTATTTCCAGAAATAACTGACAAAACAAATGCTAGTGTTGTCCATAACAGATATAACATGCATTTACTTGATTAGTAAAATAAATTTAAAAACTAAAACTTTCAAGCAAGACATTCTTGAATTTCCTAAATGTAATCATTTCTGCAATGAGGGTATAATGATTAAATACCTGAAAGCGTGCAAATCCTTGAAACCAAATAAAAAAAATAAAAAATAACATTATCTTTAATCACATATAAATAAACATCTTATTCTTAGTCTCTTCATTGTAATAATCAGACCCTAACCTGGTTAATCTTATCACAAAGATGTAAGACTTATTTTATGACAATGATGTCTGCACCATTTAAAAAATTTCACATGGAATAAGTGCATTCTCTGCATCTCAAAACTAATGCACATCTGTTTAACATGTAATATTTGATGGAAAACATTGTATGAAACCAGTGTCATTCACTATACAAAAAACAACTCTTATAATGGATACACTCTGCATGTTTAAGCCATGAAAAAATTTGCAGATTGATTTAACATTTATAAATAAATGTTAACAATTATAAATTGTTAACCTAGGAAATCAGCTTCAAGAATTGAATGAGACTTAAGAAATACTGGAATATTATTGAATGTTAATATATTGCAATACTGAGACCAATAAATTAGGGATTTCAGTAAATAAATTTTAAAGACAAGAACATTTGAAACGAGATAACTATTTCAGTTTCAAGTGGATTTCATTTTTTGAGGACTTTATTTCTAAGGTTTTAAGCATTTTTTGTATGTGAACAAATGCTATGACTATGAAACACGTGGTTTGAAAGTAAAAATTAGTTCTGATTGCCTTCCCATGTTGTTGTTTGGGGTTTAACGCCATTTTTCAGCACACGATAGGCTATACATGGCGGCCAGTATTAATGGTGGAGGAAGAAACCGGGAAATCACCCAGAAAGAACCACCGACCCACGAGAAGCTACTGGCAAGCTTTCTCACATATCCACATTCGCTGAATTTTATATTCAAAATCCACGCAGATAGAGGTGAGATGGCAGTGATCCATAACGGACAGCGCTATAGACCACTTGGCCACTCAGGGGCCCCTGCCTTCCCATGAATTTGTGGCACATCTTTTGTTAAAAAACAATCATTCCTTATAATAATTGTAATTCCTCTTTCCAAAACCACCGAACATTATACTGATCCAGTGGCCTAGTGGTTAGAGCATCCGCCTCAGATGCGAGAGGTCGTGGGTTCGATCCCCAGTCGAGTCAGACCAAAGACTTACAAAAATGGTACTAACAGCTATCTCGCTTGGCACTCAGCATTAAGAGGTTAGTGTTAGGACTCGTTGGCCTGGTGTCAGGATAATGTAACTGGTGGGACATCATCCTACATGTTTGCAGCATGATGCCCCAGTGCTAGACAACACTAAACTGCCACATTGCAGACATCATAGCGCTAAGACTGAAAAATTGTTAAAATTATGTTAAAAATCATAATTACATCACATCACAGAACATTATATGAAAATCTGAGCAAAGAAACTGCATTACTTCTCTTTTGGGGGGGGATGCAAAGTATCTTGAATGTTCAAATTTGAGCAGTCATTTTAAGGAAAAGACAAAAAGCATTTTCATTGATAATTGGAAAGCACTTGTGATAGTTTTTAATACTGACAACAGCATCAAGCCAGAGCACCCATTGGATCCCAAGCTGGAAGCACGACTGGTTCCTGGTCCAGTATCCTCTGCATATCCTCACTTAGAAGAGATTTGGGAACCACAACTTCATATACAAACTCGGTAAACCATTCATCTGTCATTAATATATAGCCTGCAGAGAATAAAACAAAACTCTCAGAAAAGACTGAAAAATTAAAGTTATTAATGAAAACTTTATCCTTGCCTTATCAAGACAATGTGCACATACAGCCATGAGGAATGAAGAGTTTTTGTAGTTATTTAACAACAGTCATAGTGTCATACTTTACATCTAATGGATTACATGTACATTTTGTTCCCTAAAAAATACTGAACACTTGTTAATGTAGTGCACAACATGTATAATGTTCATACTGTCATTATAAAATATAATCCAGTAAACATATGGGTTGCATCAAATCTACCTCTGTAATTAAATGACTTTTGGTGCACTTTTATCAGGCGCTTGACAGTCATTGAATACTGAATCTTTCAACTTTATCAATAAATCATCAACTTGAAGGGTTCATTGTTTGATATTTTGGTCACATAAAATGACTGAAACAACAAGTATGTCTGCTCTTTTATGATGTTTAAATTGACCATGACACCATTTTTAAATCGACCATAACCTAAGCAAGCAAATCTGGTTCAAAACATGAAAGCCACAACCCTCTTGTTCTATTATCCAAGCCTTAGAGTTCAATTATCAGTACCTGAAAGTAATATTACCTTTGCTACCATCTTTATCTCCCCAGGAATTCTCCACTCTCCATTTGGTGGCCTTGACATGACCTGGATTACCATCCTGCAAAGAGAAACAAATACACACATTACAAAACTGAACTATGAACGGTTACAACTTAATATCTTGCACAAAACTTAAATATAATCACAACTCTGAGAACAAACAGGCTTGCTTTGGTGTTTTATTGTAAAGCAAAACAAATAGGTTAATTTGGGCCATGTCAATTGGACTAGTTTTCTTGCCCAGGAACCAGGTGCACACCAGTGTCCAATCCAGTCTGATCTTAAGGTAGGATTAAAAACAACACCTTTCTGACAGCAGTCTGGCATGCTAACTGTGGTACCTGTCTCCGTAACTCACCTACTATAACATACCTATTCCACATCCCCAAGCCACCATAGGAAAGGGGGGGGACCAATGGAATTCCCTAAAGTAGTACAGTGTTTCTTAATGCTAACATGTTTGTTGTGGAGGGAAAAGCTAATTTTAGTTCTGCAATATCACAGACAACAGATGATACACTGCACATGACACACAATGTAAACCATACCTTAAGATGAATCAGCTTTACAGCCAGTTTACTAAAATTGTACATGCATTCCTTTAAAGGATGAAAGGAAAAGGTAAAAAAAAATTCTGAAGCTACAAGAATTTTTTTTTATGTGTATGAAAAAGAAATCAGCTATGTTCACAAGAAATAATTTAAGTAGTCAAATTTTTGCATAAATAAAGGATATCGTTATGAAAATTAAATGATATTTGATCAATACAAAACAATAGGTTAGCTTATGTAATTGTTACAACTGATGAATAAAATAGGTTAAAATGATTAGATTTCAATCTAACAATCATCTACCTGATCAGTTGACAAAAACCTCTCCTGAAAGTTCAGAACTCAAGCAATGCTGTTTTCTCTTACCTGTGTAACCAGTATCAAGACCAGAAAATTACTATTCTGGACTGATTTAAAACAGGAATAAAATCATCACTATTCATTAAGCAAATTGAAAACTATTTAGATAATGTCAAACTATGTATATTGGCAATGTCCTCCAGACATTATATTGGTTCTAATCAATCAGCTTAAGATAATTTGGCTATAATGGTGTTCACAATAAAAAGCACATTACCTGCTCTGTTCCAACCCCTGTGAAAACCATAGCATGTGTCATGAGGGATTCTCCATACATCAACCTCTCTGACTTGTTCATCTTTAGTGGGTCAACATCAAATACTAGTGTAAAGTCCAAACTGAAGAAACAAATGACATTTATCTATATACATATATTATATTCTTATTATGATATCAAATTTATGTCAAGACTTGCATGTACAACCACATTTAACCAAACAAGTTTTTTTTGTGAACATAATCATATAACTTCCATTGAATCCATTTACATCCAAACCAATATCACAATGAACTCAAACAATGCACATTCTTTTTATATTACTTTTTGTCTTAAAAAAATAATTATGCAAAGATGCTACAAAACATTAAAATGACCTGACTTTGTAAACAAATTTTAAAATTTTTATCTTATCAAATATAGAAATGTTTTTTATTTTTTAAAAAAAAGATATATAAATCAAATTTTGTATAGCTGTTTTAAAACTTCCAACCATAAACTCAACTTTGGTATTTTCATTGGGACATTGCCTATTGGTATTTTTCACCAGGATGAAATTGAAAGAATTATACATTATATCTTTCTTTCTTGTTAAATTTTCTTTATTAAGAAAAAGTTCTGTAAACTGTAAATAACATATCAAATGAAATTCTGATGAATTAAAACATTAGTACTTCTGACAACACTTGAATAAATTAATACCAATTTAATAAGTTTTGTGAAACTGATAATTTAGTGTCAATTAACTATGACAGCTATATCTATAAGCATTTCCATGAGAACCAAATAAAGCGCTGACCATATTTTGATCTCCAACTTGTGGAAATATTTTTTGCATTGTTACAATCAATTAAACAGTGTTTTATTACCTGTATAGACTCCATTAAACTTGAAAATATTATTCCCCTTCCAGTCCCACAATGAAATGATCAGTCCCAAATGTGATGTATATTAATTTTTCTATAAAAACATCTCATGATTAGGCTGCATCTGATTCGCTCAGAAAATCCAGCAGAAGTTTGAACACCAGTGTCATTTAGTCTCTAGTAAGTGTAGTGATGAACATCAGTGACACTTACATTACCTTCAAACCCACTACTGAACCCTATTGAATTTAAAGTTAGTTTGTGTGACAAATAATATTTTCAAAAAAAAGAGATATTTTGGGAACATGGAAATTGGAGTCAGGGCTTGTAAATTTTTTTAAAATTTACCCAAATTGGGCCTGTGTTTAAAAATTTGTTTCTCTGTGCACTGATTATGCTTCAGTAACATGCCACATTAATCCAGTTTGTTGTAAGTTATATAACTGAGGATAAAATCATTTAATCTGAAATGATAATATTTATGTTAACAATAATTAGAGATTTAGTAATCTGTTTTAGGGTTTGGGGGTTTCTTTCGGGTAGGGTGGGCTGGTTGGTTACATGTTTTTACCATTTGAGGTCCAACAATCCTTCCTTGGAACAAAAGGATTTCCCTACATCACAACCAAACCAAACTGGCTGAAAAAGGAAGAAGAGAATGATTCAAATACAAGAGACCACAGATGATCTGATATCACTCAACTAGCTATGCCTCAACTCTAAAATATTCGGACTGTTACCTGAAAATTTCAAATTTTGCAGTATTATTGGAAAACACAATGTTCATCTCATTGGACCAAATAAATGATACAAATATATCACTCCAGAATACAATTCTCAGATTTAAATGGCTGATGTCCATCTTACAAAATTTAAATGAATGTTATCCATTACTTAGCTTGTAACGAAAACATCTAACTTGTGAATTGCTTGAGACAACACTCTGGTACATCCATTTGCAACTGTATTTTAAAAAATGAGCGTATCTTGCTAGATTCTTTATTAATTACAACTCTTCTATTATAATTGTAATGTAAATAGTTTATAAAGTCAAATTACTTTCTTGAAAAAAAGGCAATTTGCCAGAAAAGATCGGCAAAGGTAAAATATTCATGAACTCGGATAACACTACTCCAACAATACAAATGCCACACAGCTACAGATTCAGTTATCAAACCAGTGGCATGCCTTTATTTTGGACCAGTTCTATTACTGGTATCAACTGTTCTCCCCAGCACTCTTTTCCAACAGTGAATAATGTGAAATCAAAAGTTTAAAGGGATACAAATTTTCAGGGATGTCATTGCTGCTATTAAACAAAAATTTGAAAATCAAAACTGACAATGATTCTTCTAAACAATAAACAAACCATCCCAAATTCAAAAATATGTAGAGTTAGGACCCTAGAATTATTGTAGTAAATCAAAAATTGGATATAATTATGTTTGTAACAAAAACCTTATGGAGCATACATTTTCAAACAATGTTAGAATACTTTAAGCTATTCTGTACCTTGTTTTCCGAAATACATTTGATGGTCAGCTGTTTCAGCACATCAACAGGTTGGTTTATATATAGGACCTTGCGCCCACCACTCATATTTCCTAGGTATTCCACAGTGTACAGTTTGTTGTATGAATTCTGAGGGCGTGGGTCATTCACTACGCAGACCTTAAGAAAAGAAAATATGAGGACTGAAGTTTGTAATGTGTACATGTACGATCACCATCAAAACTTCACACAAATGAAGAATACAGTAACAGCAGTCACATCAAAGTTAAGGTCATAAACAAGTGCATATATAATAAGCTACAGAACCAGCCTCAG